AGCACCTCCAAGCAGAGGACGCCTCCTTACTAAAGTTACGGCGCCGTGTTGATGCACCAAGCGATAGGGAGGGTCCAGGGGGTATGTCCCCTGTGGTCCTCCGAGATGGGCTACTTATGCGCTGGGATATGGAGGTATGGTGGTACTGTATCGTGGTGCCAATTGCTCTGCGGGGTAGAGTAACAAGAGCTGCTCATGTGCGATTGATGAACCTAGGGGTGCAGAAAACGTTGTCTACGTTGAAGTGGGACTTCTTATGGCCTGGGATGGCAGAGGACGTTCATAACGTGCTCAAGAGATGTGCATAATGTGCACATCTCTTGAGAATGACCTGACCACCACTGCAGTCCATTGGGGTGTCCCGTGTAAATGAGCTCGTTGCCCTTGACATCCTCGGGCCATTTCCTACCACTCCGAGGGGAAATAAATTCTTGCTGGTAGGGGTAGAGTACCTGTCACGGTGGCCGGTGGCATGGCCCCTACCGGATCAGTCGGCGGCGTCCATTACGGACACGTTCCTGCATGGTTATGTATTGGATAAGGGGGCCCCGGAACGTCTCCTTACGGACCAGGCCCAAAAAAATTCTTCAAAATTGTTGCAAGAGTATGTGATTTGTTGGGTATGAAAAAAATTCGAACCTCGCCCTACCATCCGCAGACTGACGGGATGGTGGAGCGTTTACATAGGACACTTACGCCCATGTTGTGCCAACAAGTCAACGAGGCACAGTCCGATTGGGACCTATATGTTCTGGGAGTTCTTGCGGCCTATAGGATGGCCTCTCATGCCTCTACCGGATTCTCCCCATTTTTTTATGTACGGGAGAGAATGGGATCTCCCCCATGGAAGCCCAGTTAAATATTGAGCCAAGGAAAAAGAGAGTCGCTGTGCCAGGACTGATGAGACTCACCCTAAAGTAGTTGACGGAAGCATGGGAGGCATCCTAGGGAAATTCGGCCAAATGGCAGGCTGCAAATGAAAAACTGGCTGGGCTTAAAGAATCGGGGAAATCGTGGAAACCTGGGGAGAGGGCATGGCTGCATTGCCCCCAGGTGCCTGTGGGCACATCTCCTAAATTACATAGGCCATGGCAGGGCCCGGTGGAGGTAATTGAGGTTAGGAGGCAGCAGTGTGTACGGATCCAGGTTGGTCTCAGGTGTTGGTATGTGCACCCGTCACGACTTATGAGGGAATTTCATCTTCGCCATCTGATGGCTGGGTGTGTGATGTGTCCGACGGGGACGGACATACATTTACGGAGGTTGTGCCTCTGCGAGACCGTTCCTCCATCCGCAGGATCCCAGGGCTTGACGCCCATGGAACCGCCGGCGGTGCCGCCCTCAGGCGGACCAGGGTGGACTGTACGACCGCCACCCGTTTCTTCCTCTCCTCCATCTTCGTCCCGGGGGGGACCGCACCCATTGGGCCAGCTGCGAGTCACCCCCAGGATCCCTGGGGGATCCATGCCGGGTCCATACAAGGGACAAGCGACAAGGACCCATTCCAAGACCGTTCCATTCAGATAACCGCCCCTACTCGTCATTGGGTTGCTGTTATTTTAGGGGCTGGATCGTTGCCATGCATTACGAATGTTGCGTGGATGTTGTTGTGTACGTCGTCCCGCTACGCGACGTATGGAGATCAGCCGGGACTGCTAGGTTTTTTTTCACGGGGGGGGGGGGTGATGTATTGACATTGAATGAGTCACTTTAGCGCGTGCCGCTGGGAGATTGGTAGACAATGGAATTAGGAGTAACAGCAGCCCGTTCTACCAGTTGGACCTGTCGGCAAGGTACGGAGTCCTCTGGGGGATCCAGAGCGGTGCGGGGCCGAGGGCGGAGCCTGGCCACGCTGGGCCGGATAAAAGGCGAGCTCCGACTCACAGTCAGGGTTGCTGGGATCTGGAATGGAACTCGTTGTGCCGTCGTCGTCATGATCTTCGCCCTCTTCAAGCTGTGGGTCTGGCAGCATGTTGGCAGTCCCGACCTGGTATGTAGTTATCCCCTAAGGCTGTGAAGGCCGGAATAAAAGAGAGAGAGTACCTCCTACTAGTGTTTGTGCATTAGTACACTACACTTGCATGCCTGAAGGCAAAGGGGTCATTAAGGACAATGCCATTCATGTCACACACTGCCAGTGCCACGACCTCAAGAGCCGCCACGAGGCACACCACCCACACACACGAGGCACACCACCCACACACACGAGGCACACCACCCACACACACGAAGCACACCACCTAAACACACGAGGCAAGACTTCAGTTAATTGTGAGATGAAAGTCCTTGGGCCCTAAGATAAAACCTCCGTGAGGTGAGCACAAGACCACCTCTAGGAGGACCCGGGTGATATTCAAAGGAAGAATGTCAAATTCTGTGCGTTGGACTGTATGTGTTGGTGCACTAAGAGACGGGCAAACAGAGGTAAAGCACCCAATCTCACCCCGCTCGGTGGCCTTGTTCGAGACGAGTCACCGTGGCTCGTGTGCATTGTTGGTTTTCAGCGTTGGTCGTCTCCCAAGACGATCAGGAAGGAGTGGTGGAGGAATTACCAAGGAGTATGGTGATCATAAAACCAACTAAAAGTGTATGAGACTTCATCATGGGACCTCCTTTGCCAGTACCAAAATATGAGAATAGGTTTTTCCCTTTTTTCTGGCAACAAAGCAGGTGTTAAGATGTTAATACACCAAACCTTTAACAAGGAATCATGTCTGCATTAACCACAATACTTGTGGTCAGAATGCAAACAAAAAACATACTCTGATAATATATGCATTGTCTTTGAAACTGATTGGTCCACACCAGAGAAAGCTTTCTTTCGAGCCTAGTCTCAAATGGTGTTAGACCAGAGGACGCCAAAAAACGCCTTTTGGTGTTAAACCAGGGGACGCCAAAAGACGACTTTTGGTGTACTCTGATCTAACACTGTTTGAGACTAGGCACGAAAGAAAGCTGTCTCTGGTGTGGACCAATCAGTTTCAAAGACAATGCATATATTATCAGAGGATGTTTTTTTGTTTGCATTCTAACCACAAGTATTGTGGTTAATGCAGACATGATTTCTTGTAAAAGGTTTCAGTTTGGTGTTTTAACATCTTAACGCCTGTTTTGTTGCCAGAAAAAAGGGGAAAACCTATTCTCAGTGTATGAAACTGTGGTATGTTCTCTGTGTGTGTGTGTTGAGTGGCGCAGGAACGGTAGACCAGTGTTGCGGGGGTTTAGGCAGCACGCTGTTAAATTTTCCCTGCGTTAGGTGGCCAACGCAGCCAGGGGAGACACTCTGTAACCTTGTTCCCACTGATCGTGTGGCGTGCAAGGGCAGAGGAAGTGGGGAGCTTGTGTATGTATTGGCAGGAGACCGGTGCAGCATAACACAGCGATCCCCATAAAACAATCTGAAATCAAAATTTGAATCGGCAAATCTGTTTATCAGTCTTTAATTGGCCCTGTGTCACTAAGTTTGGTGCGATTCGAAGGTTTATTCAGTCTACTGAGACTTGCTAAAAAAGGTCAATATCGACTGATGATTTGGTTCCGGGGCATGCAATTTTCTTTTGGGCCGACCAAGAGGGTGAGTGCCTGAAGCAACAGCAGCAGCAGCGGCTTTCTTTCGTTGCTTTCTTTCCTTGCCTTACGAGCCTGAGGTGGGACTGGAGCAACATAATCTTCGTCGTCGTCTTGAACCGCCGATGGATAGTACGGCAAGATGAGCGTTGGGATCGTGTTGTACTTCTTCTGAATGCTTTAGAGTTTGGAATCGTCTGAACAAGTCTAGGATACGGGTCAAAACATGAAGCCAATCGTCATCAGGATGGGTGCTGCTATATGGCAACAGACTGCAAAGCTTCGTGTTCAGCCGCTCATAACGTTCTTCGTCCGACTGCGTCGACATCACGAGAACTGATTTTAACACACCACCACCACCCCACAAGATTGTCTCACCGGGGTTGGCGAATTGCGGAAAAATAAATAATTGCGAAAAATGCGACTTCTATTTTTTGGGATACCGCGCACCACCGGTGTACCGCCAACACGTTCACAATGCTCGTGGCCTGTGAGGTGTGCTGTGGTCAGGGGCATTACCGCGAACCATGGGAGTGAGTGGTTAGTGCGACGATGTGCCGGGACAAACGGTAGGAGGTTATTGTTGTTGACTGACGTGGTTTGTATAGTCCAAACAAACGACTCTGCAAATGTATGCAAATTAACTTGACATGAAGGTTGACTTAAAGCTTTCGTGACTGATCGTTGTTTTAATGCTGTGGGCACACACGAAATATATTTTTCCAAGACGAAGGTACTCTGCAAACCCACTGGCTATCAACAAAGATTAGTTCATGAAGCCATCCAGATACATAAACACTGACACAATTTCAACCGAGAAGATGGGTACAAACTGAGCAATCATTGGAAGGACGTTATTAACCAGGTTAAGTCATAACTGGCTGTGATGTTTAGTAGTTATTTTCGAATCTCTGGTGTTACATTAACAGGTTAAATGCCTTTACATTAACAGGTTAAATGTCTCACTAACACAGCCACCGTTGCTCGTTTTCCTTGATGTGGCGGTGGCTCTACGATCTGACATTGACATGCTAATCACAATACAATGGCCACCTCCGATCTTACATTTACATGCAAATTTCATCACTAGCCCCACCCACTTGGCTTATGACCCTTGGGCTACACCCATCTCAAACCTTTATAACATCCTGCCTCAGCAGCTCTCTCGCTATTTTTTTCACCTGATGATGATTACTTGTGTTGCGATCGAAATGTGATATTTTGATTATTTTTTATATCTACGTGGCTTTACCAAAAGACCCAAAGAATATTGATAGGAAGGTCTAATTAACTTGCATATGTCGGTGAAGATGCAGACATATTCGGGGACTTGAACAGAAATGCAGTGGTGTTTAATGTACAATCAATGCCTTTAAAGTGTCCGCGGGTGAAAATGTCGGTAGAAATGTAAAACAACGTAAATATGCACGTACCTTTTCAATCGTGACATTCTGCAAGGTTGTGTTGTCAACTGTGACATTTGTTGTCACGGAAATATAATTGTAGACGGTAGCATACTGCAGAGAAGATCAGACACAACACTGTATACATTGAATATTCGCAGGTTAGTTGTCTTTGTTTCAAATCTCACATTTGCTTTGTGTAGCCAGGTGAGAACTCGAGGCTTGGGTCACAAATATGATGAACCGAAACAAATAACGTTACAGCACTGAAGCACAAACAGGAATCAATGTTAAATTATACATTCCCTGTAGTGTAAATCTAATCTCCGCAGTTAAACACGTAGGCTTTCATGACCAATATTATCCATAACAGAGGGGTTTTTTTGGGTTAGATCGTGTAAATATAAATGTGTCGTTAAACCCGCCACCACCACCCGACATAGCCAATTAGTAAGGTTTGTCATGTAAATAAAACATGCGAATTTGTTACTACATCAAAACACCGGTGTGTTGGAGAGTGGGTTTACACTCCATGTTAGTAAGGTTTGTCAAGTAAACAAAACATGGAGAGTAAACCCACTCTCCAACACACTGGTGTGTTGAAGTAGTAACGAATTGGCATGTTTTATTTACATGACAAACCTTACTAATTGCCTGTGTCAGGTGGTGGCGGTTTTAACGACACATTTATATTTATGCGATCTCACCCAAAAAAACCTCTATTATGGAGATTACATTTAGACTGGGTCTAATACAATGACAAACTTAATTTACAGAAACATTAAACAGATATAAGGTGGCTAGAGTATTGTACTAATATCTAAACAGACGAAGATTCATGTCAAATGCAACTGTAATTGCAGGGAAGTTATCGTGGAAGTTTTTAGGCAGAATATCACAAGAGAACTAACAAGCACAATAATCACAATGATATTTATATGCAACTCTACCTGGTGAATATGGCAGCGAGAGGTTTACCCATGATGCACTGTGAGCCTAAATATTAAACATTAATAATACACCCAACCATGGCAGGGGCCATAAGCAGGGACCTTTGCCAAATAATTGTGGTTCGGAGCTGGTCAACTAATGGACTAGGTTAGAATACAACCACGGGCATTATATGCCATTACATTTGTTGTCATATTTCTGCACTGTGTATTAAAAGACAAACGTGTATAGCAAGCAACTGCAATATAAACAATGCAAGTAACTCACCGATTGAAAAGCAGCAGCCACAAGATTGGCAGGGAAGAGGTTTCTGGAGAAGACAATGTTAACAGGTTAGTGACATCGACTACCCAATTTCAAGTTCCTATACACTCACCACCCCCTTCTTAAAAATTAGCATTTACAATTTCTTTTCGTTCACCTGTCTCGTAATACATCATAATCAGCCGTGTTCTATCCAATGTTGGATGACGGCCTCACCACATCATCAACATTTCCCATGAACCTGAGATGCCTGAAGAGCTGGTCTCATCACACGGAACATACATTTTGTGAGATATTATTTTACCGCTATAAAGATCCAAATATAATTCCTACACTTTTTATGATTCTGTCTCAACTCATGCAGTATGGTTGCATCTGTTCTCTAAGTACTACTTGTGGTCAGAATGCAAACAAAAAACATACTCTGATAATATATGCATTGTCTTTGAAACTGATTGGTCCACACCAGAGACAGCTTTCTTTTGAGCCTCGTCTCAAACAGTGTTAGACCAGAGGACGCCAAAAGGCGTACAAATTTGTGAATGATCACAAATTCACTTCCTCTTCACTGCCTTCACGCTCACGTGCTCGTGATCACGTTTCATATATTCTTGAATCGTGGTCTCTAATTATTTCCCTCATGCATTTGTAGTGTTCGATTTCACTCGGACAACTTCTGTCTTTCTTCGAACACCACTTTATTTACAACTCTCAGCATGTCCTCCACATTCCACAGTATCCTGGTCGCCACGGCTCGCTCGCCGTGCTTCACTCGACTCGCTCGCCATCTTTGTCTCTCCAATCCCCACGATTACTTCGCTTGCTCCGCACTCAGCGACTCCGCACTCAGCGACTCCGTACTCAGCAACTCTGCACTCAGCAACTCCGCACACAGCGTCTTCGCACACAGCGACTTCGCACACAGCGTCTTCAGCTCCGCTATCGCTACGCTCTCTCCACTACTCGCTATTCTCGTCTCCAGCTCCGCTATCGCTACGCTCTCTCTCCACTGCTAACTACTTCTCTTCTTCAGCTCCGCTATCGCTATGCTCACTCCACTGCTGGCTATTCTCTTCTTCAGCTCCGATATCGCTATGCTCACTGCACTGCTGGCTATTCTCTTCAGCTCCGCAATCGCTATGCTCACTCCACTGCTGGCTATTCTCTTCTTCAGCTCCACTCCACACTCTGTTTCCAAACTCCGTCTCCAACTCTGTCTCCAAACTCTGTTTCCAATTCCGTCTCCAAACTCTGTTTCCAATTCTGTCTCCAAACTCTGTTTCACACTCTGTCTCCAAACTATCCTCCCAACTCCATGTCTTGCCTCGTCCAGCTCCCAACTCCAACTCCCCGACTCTCTGTGTGTCTCCCCATTTTATCTCCCCCACGCTTCGTGTCCTCAGAACACCTGTCTTTCTCCAGACATCTCGACGCCTCCTCGCCCTTGACAATAGCCCCAGCCAATCACCGCCGTCGCTGGTCCTCTGGCTTAATTGGCCCAACCATTACCTCATCATCCCAGCCCTTGCACCTGGCTGCCCTAACATGACCTGCACTGTATTTGACTTCGTTACAGGCTGACCCAACATAACCCGCACTGTCTCTGTTTCCATGCAATACGCACCTTTCTACTCCACTACACATTTGTAAGAGTACTCTCTGTCACAACCAGAATTAATATCTGTAACATAGTTGATTTATATAACTGTTGGGTGGGTATACGGCAGCCTACAAATACCGCAAGGTTGAATATTTTGAGAGAGTTAATCACCCAACCACTAAACGATATCCAGGAACCAAAGCAATGAGATATCATGCCAGCAATACCTAAAAAGAGTATTAAGCAAAGGTGTCACAACACCACTCTCGGTAGAGGAGCAATAATGCTTTACACAGGTTTTACAAGGTGATATCCAATATGAATAAAATATGTTGAAAAACAAAAAAAACATACTTTAATAATATATGCATTGTCTTTGAAACTAATTGGACCACACCAGAGACAGCTTTCTTTTGAGCCTAGTCTCAAAACGGTGTTAGACCAGAAGAGTATGTTTTTTGTTTGCATTCTGACCACAAGTATTGTGGTTAATGCAGACATGATTCCTTGTAAAAGGTTTCAGTTTGGTGGATTAACATCTTAACACCTGTTTTGTTGCCAGAAAAAAAGGGAAAAACCTATTCTCATATTTTGGTACTGGCAAAGGAGATCCCATGATGTAGCTGCTCAATCCCGAGCTCTCATTACTCTGATAGTGCATTGTCTTTGTGCTGTACGCCTTTTGGCGTCTTCTGGTCTAACACCGTTTTGAGACTAGGCTCAATAGAAAGCTGTCTCTGGTGTGGACCAATCAGTTTCAAAGATAATACATATATTATCAGAGTCTGTTTTTTGTTTGCATTCTGACCACAAGTATTGTGGTTAATGCAGACATGATTCCTTGTAAAGGTTGCAGTTTGGTGTATTAACATCTTAACACCTGTTTTGTTGCCAGAAAAAAATGGGAAAACCTATTCTAATCTATTTTTCTTCTTCCCTTTCAGATGACATTTAAACATGGAAATAAAGTTGACTGACGACGAACGAGTTAATTTCGCTTTCATGTATGCGAAATAAGGCAGCTGTAATCTAAAAAACAACCTAAATTAAATTAAAGATAATTCATGCATTTGTTAATGTTAATGGAATTTAGCTTTGGACATTTATTAAAATGTATTAAATAACCCTTTGGAATTTGTTCAAATAAATATAATAACTCCATGTGTCCTGACTTTTGGGTCACCGTATGTCATTGGAGAAGCGTTCTCATGGGCAAAAAATAGGCCCCAAGATGTAATAAAATCACACCTAATGCAACAAACCTTTTTGAGCACCTGTTTTATGGAATATCGATGATTTTATAATATATTAATATTCCAAATTAGTCCTGAAATAAAACTTACTGTACAGCACTTACACTCAGAACAATTGGATGACGGTCTCTTTTTGAACTTGTGCTTTCAATTGTATTTCATCGCCTCGTTCCAGACATCTTGACTGACTGACCGACCAACTGAAGTAATAAATGTAAGAAAAGGGTGAAATCCCCACAGTACAGAACCAGGCGTGAGCAACGCAACGGGACCCGAACCAACCAACGGGACCCCAACCAACGGGACCCCAACCAAAAGCAGGTGAGCGTGGGCAGCATGGAGAGCGGTTGCTTTGTGACGGGGGGTGACGCGCAAACCACCCGGAGCAGCACGCCAGCACGCCATGCACGCGAGGACAAACGAAATTGTTCACAGATCCCCCCACCCCGCCTAATTAATTTTTTTTATAGATTCAAAAATCCATAAATGCGAAGTCAACGTAAACTATATCTTAAACTATATCTTATTCGGAGAGCATATTTTTGATCCCAACTCTTACATAGAGAGAATGGTTTTTTTTCTTCTTACGGTCGTACAGCAAGAAGCACATGAAGAGAGTAGACATTCGCTTACGGTGGCAGCGATTGTTTTCTTCCCCCCCCCCTCTCACCACCACTTCGTTAGTTTTTTCACTGTGGTACATTTTATAGAAAGCGACCCATCGGAGCCAAGGCTGGGTTCCGCGCCAGCGCTCCGCCCTCGTTACCGCTGGCCGCTCCCCGCAGTGTCGACGTGACAGCTCCAGCCAAGCCTGCAACTCAATTTCTGGAGACCCGCTCGGCTCGGCCTCATTGGTGTCCCGACTCCGGGCTCCCGAAAGGCAAACATTAAATGTCATATGTTTTACTTTCTTATGCTACACACTATTATACTCACTGTAAATGTGATTGTAATGCAGCGAGGCGAGGTTCTGTCTCACGTACGCTTATTCAGCCCTTGCTCGACAAGGATGCCGTCAGTCTGCCTTGGAACATTTTTCCTCCGCAATGCTGCTGCGTTTTCATCGTCACTTCAGTATGATGTGAACTATTTTTGCAACACACTTTCATTTTGATGTTATTGGGGGTAGCAGACGTTTGCGTGTGTGACGTCGAGTGAAACAGCTCGAAACCCACGTCATCTTCGGATTCATCAGACACCTTTTCTTCCTTTTTCACTTCAGCAGCAGTGGCTGGAGCCCCAATAGTACCTGGCACGGCTGGAGCCACCAGCCACGTCGACAGACACAGCCACAGGCGTGGACGAGACGTTGGCTAAGCCAGCAGAGATCGCTTCTTCTGCATTCCTGCCCTTCACCTCACTGACGACATCCTTACTGAGCTTGGGGTCATCCCGCCTCAATGCCAACAACCGCTTGGGATCCTTCTTGCTGTCACCGGCATTGGGCTGCTTCGTTGCCATCACAGTGTGGCGATGGATGGGTTAGCGGCCACCCAATGCATGATTAAATTCCAGGGATGCGAAATGTCGTGCACGCTTGGGTTGTGAAGCCGTGTGGAACACACTCGTTGCGGGGGGGGGCACATGAACTGTGATCGAAAATGCCGGGTCTTACATTCAAAACCCATTTCACCCCTCCATCTCTGAATGAAGCTGAAGCAACTCCTCCTCCCTTCTAGTTTGCCATTACATCACCCCACGTTGTCTCCTGACATGAGATTTGTTCTATGCCCTTGCACTTTCCGACTGGGTTATTTCCAGATTCAGTCATTGTCAATGGGTCATAACATCCGATTACATTTTCTGCCCATAACCAGAATTATCTTTCACGATTCTATCTCAAATTTCACACAGATTCCGTCACGCTATTTTTAGTTTTGTTGGAATTTCATCCCTTTTCATCTCTACTATTACAAAATTCCTCTTATGATTTCAGATAACTTGGCATCACAATTTATGTAGTTTTAGTGCGTCGTTGGAGAATTATAAGATGGCAATCTTCAAGTGGTCTTCTGCGTTATGTGATAAAGCACAACAAATGTCACCACTCCGGTAACTGAACTTCTTAAATCGACCTCCTGGTCAAAATGTAATGGCAACAATGAAAAAAGGCCCACATCAGAGACAAACCAACCTCCCAACTGGTCCATCACTGTGAATTATCCATCTCAACGTGAAATTATTATCGAGCGC